TTGTAAGGATTTGCTTAAATAATAAGTACACAGTGATAGGTAATTATGAGTTGGCGGTATGAATGCGTCCTTCTCCATGAGTCAAGATGGGTGGGTCCGTAAATGCGATGTGACAGTGTGACGTGAATCTGTCCAGCTTTTCAAATCCTAGATTTTCGTCATCTGTTTTCTCTCAGAAGCTAATGCAGCAGATAGGTTTAGAAGAATATTTTCATGTTTGGCCTGCATGAAACTTTCACAGTGACCAATAATAATAAAAAAATCCATCCATACATCGAATCTCTTGCTTATCCAGAGTCGGGTCATGGGGCAGCAGCCTAAGCAGGGAGGCCCACACTTTCCTCTCTCCAGCCACTTGGGCCAGCTCCTCCGGGGGAATTCCCAAGACGTTACCTGACCAGGCGAGAGATATAGTCCCTCCAGCGTGTCCTGGGTCTACCTTTAAGTCTCCTCCTGGTTGGACATGCCCGCAAAGACCTCACCAGGGAGACATCCTAACTAGATGGCCGAGCTGCCTCAACTGGCTCCTCTCGGTGTTGGTATCAGAAATATTCATTAAAACATGTTTCTTCTGTGAACCACACATTTTAATGTGTATATTTCCTGCTTCATAAAATGTTTGAAAACATCAGCCTCTCGAACCGAATCTCGTCCATGACACCAGTGCTGCTGATCCACTAGACTTCAGACCAAAGATTACCTCCATGCCGGTGTAATGTGAGGAAATATGGGTTTTCTGTGCAAAAGGTCATTTGACTCGGCTGGGTCAAAGAGCTGGGTCGCTGAGAACTTTCACCCACAGATTGAGACCTTTGCAGACATGAAGTCTGCAAGAGTCTGCTGGAAACCATAACATCTGAACACCTGCAGTACCAGAAGAAGGAGTTCTCATGGACAAGTAGTCATAACATAACAAGTCTTAAAACTTCCTTTCTTGATTTTAATGTTAAAGAATAATCATTATCATTTTGCTCATTATAAATGTGTTTAATCAAATGAATTATTCTTATGCTTTGGGTAATTATAATGGATTAATGAATCCATACTTAATTAGATAATCTTTGAGGATGTTTGTTAGCGACCCTCACACACACTCAAGCACACACACACTCAAACACACCCACACACAGATTCTCACAGTAAACTCCAAAACACATTTGCTGACGCACACGTTTGCTTTAGAAGAGAAAGGCTTTTGGTAAGTTTCAGTCTTATGAGGGAGTTCGTGCTTGACAACGAAAGAGAGAGGACCTGACGAAACCAAAGGGGGGACAGAGCCGGTCGGCTCGTTTCTCCCCCCCCTCTCACGCTGTTCCTGCCAAGCCAGACAGGACAGCTGAATCGCAACTTCTAACGCAGACCCATACCGAGTCTTTTGATTCTCTGAGTGAGTTAAACTTAAAGCGCATCTGCAAACGCTTTATCATCACGTGTACCGAGGTCATCTCCTGGACCGGGTCGCAGCACGCCTTCATCTTCTCTGCCAGCCGAGGTGTCACCCCTGGATGAAACATCGTCCTTTGACGTCCCGGGTCCAAGAGGAGGATCCGAATACAGTGAGACAGAACACGAGAGATAGCGTTGATGCATCTTTTCCAACAAAACCTAAGTTTATTCAAACCATCACTTTTCGCTCAGACACCTGTTTCTTCCTGAAGCAAAATCAGATGCACACACGCATCCATCTCACCTCATGTTCAATTCTCACTACACTTTGCCCACACGCATCCATAATCACATCATATCACTCTCAACCTTCAGCACCTCCAACAGAAGGTCTATTTGATCAAGAACAGCATATCAACTGTTAAAGATTGTCCCACAAAGTTGCCAATGTTGATTGTTATTTCCTGTTTGTCAATTTCAAAATCATTAGTTTAATTTGAAGAATTAAAACTTTTAATTGTCAAACTTGTTTCTTCATTGAACTGAAACACAGACCCACGGATATTATCGACAGTTTATCAATGAAAACAACCTTTGAGTCTTCTTAAAACTATACAATTTGGTTATTAATTCAATAAAATTAATATCACAAATTATCATGTAGAATGGTTCCTCTTTCATAAAAGAGCATAAACCACAACGCTACAGTTTGACCAGCCAGCCAGTTCTACACCGGTAACACAATGTCAAACCTGAAGGATGAAGTAAGTGTTTTCTGTCAGCTCAGCCTGCCTGCCAAAGCTCCCTCCTTCAGTCTTGGCTGTTATTTCTAAGAGTTTGATGTTTTTGTGCTGCCAGCATCCATGCCCAGCTGCAAAAACACAATTTAGGTAAACAAAATTAGCTCCAACTGCATGTCACTTATTTTGTTTCTCCAAAGTGCGTAATAAACAGACCACTGTATCAGTAGCTGCATGCATTCCTATCAAGCACTTATTCTAATGAACTGCAAGTCAATAAGCCTTTTAATTGTGTTTAGTTGGATGCAGAATGTTGGGATGAGGCTGTGCTTTACAGTACAGTAAAATGCAATTCAGTGAGAGATTTTGAAGTAAGCCAGAGGACCATTTAACACCATGCAGTGTGATGCAGAAGTGTAAAAAAAAAAGGTGATTGCACATTGAGTTCTAGTGAGTGATACATCTGTTAGGATGAAATGTCCTTTGAAAATGCACTCTCAGTTTTAGTCATTACATCAGCACGTAACATGAGCCAAGACAGATTTTTGCTTGTTAATGTGTCATCGAATCATCATTTATGTTTTACACTCCAACAATAAATGTTGAGTGACACTTTTTCAATATGAGAAATCCTCTTCAAAAGGGCATAAATACAGCATCATCACTCATTTGGGGAGCATGCTGGAGGCTTTCTTGGAACATGGTCAATGGATATTTATGTTATGCCATTCAAATCAAACGACCAGTCGATACATATTTGCCAAATAATGCTCGTGCAAAGCCCGGTTCAATAGCCTCTTTAGGTCTCTCTGCAGAGAACAGCTTGTTTTTCCTCGTTTCTCTGTATCTCTCTTCAGACCTCTAATCCTGCTCTATTGTCTCTCTGCGGTACTTTATGTTGGGTACAGAACAGAAGGGGGAAGCTGATATAATTATTAGAAACCATCCATTAACATTTCTGCAGAAACGTGGTTTACCCTTCCAGCTGAGCCGCTTCATTTGCTCCATCTCTTTCACATTCATCTGAATTCACTTGGGTTTGTGTGTTTGTTTACTCAATCTGCTGCAATGTACCACAAACCTGTGTAACACACACACACATACACAAGGTTTACTGCTAGTAAAATATGAATAGTTTCAGTTACATTTAGTGAAAAATTTGTTGTAAAAGTGTTCCTTTTTATGAGAGTGAGCAATCCTGCAGTGTTATCAAAAGAAGGCTTTGTTTGGGAACACAGGCTGATATCGTGTTCCTCCTGAAATGTCAACAAAGTTTGCAGAACCTTGTTGCTTGTTGGAAGGTAGAATGCAAAATCCACCTTATTGGGTGGAAATAGGTCTGTGGATGACCTGTGACCTGCAGGTCAATCTGTAGGTAAAAACTGACCACTGCTGGACGTTACACTGGTATGATTCTGGCTTTTATCCACTAGACTCTACAGAAAAATTCCAAAAGCAACAATCCCATTTATTGTAATAAGCTATGTTTGAGCTAATTTGTCTAAGTTACATTGAACAAACAAAGCTCTCTCTAATAAAAAGCAGCCTCACAATGTGAGTTGATGTTGCTCCACTCCCTGCATATATCACTCACCAATAATGGAGCCTACTTAGGTATGAAAATCACCCATGAAATGTGCACTCCACACCATGACAGAATCTGATATTTGAACTGTGTATTGAAATTAAGCTGAGTGAGAGGCTTTTTAAATGTAGTTTGACACAGGGGCGGCGTTAGGCCCGGCTACTTGGGCTCAAGCTCCGAATGTTTTATGAAAAGCCCCGGATCTCAAACGTGGAAGTAACATGCAGTACCAAAGTCCACCAGAGAGGGAGCAGCTGGCAGTAGTTTGTATACAGCCTGCCTGAACCTCCACCACTGAAGAAGAAGCCCTTCAGCAGCCGGCTTCTTCTACAGTCTCTGCCTGAAACGCATGAGTGAAGATGGACATAAGGACTTTTTTTAGACCAAAAGTACTACGACAGAACCCCAGCTTTGATGAGACTGGTGTTGACTCAGGTTTGTGAGTCTGAAGTCTGATTTATGCTTCTCCGTCTGCGTCTCACTGTCATGACCCCCAAATGCTTTGATACGGCCCTGGGTGGGAAGGAGTTTTGAAGGTGATCTGAATTGTATGGACTACATGAATATTGAGCTTATAAATAATTTTTACTTTATAAAGTTAAAACATGTAGTGAGATTAATCTACCTACATTTTCCTTTCCAAGCTCTTTGTTTTGTTTTCTTATTATTTGACTATTATCCTGTCGGTCTCTGATCCTGCATCTGCCAAAGGGAGAGGCAGGATTTGGTTCTCCGGAGAAAACGCTGCCTGGCTGCGGCCGTGGAGCACGGGTGATGAGCGCAGCAGCGATGCGCGTCAGTCCGAATAAAAGACAGAAAAGCAGCTATGAACGATCGTGTATTAAATATATATATAAATATATTTTGGTGGCGCAGCTTTGAGAATGTTACAGTGGCCGTGCGCAAGACACAGATGCCGGTGGAGCGCATGAGCGCTCTGCCTCTGCTCATCTCTGCTCTAAAGAATACTTGAGGCTGAGAGTCCATGATATGGGTGGAAACTTGGTCTTTTTGCTGGCTCTGTAAATGATGGTTTAGCAATATTGTCCTGGGGGGAAAATGGAGACATTTTGGAGAATGGTGTTTCTGAGTTGGAGAGATGGTCATTATATATATATATATATATATATATATATATATATATATATATATATATATATATATATATATATATATATATATACACACACACACACACACACACACACGCACACACACACGCACACGCACACACACACTAGCACAGGCGTCTTTTCTCTCCGAGCCTCTGTGTGTCTCTGTCACTTTCACACACTCTGAGCACTACATACCGGAAGTAAGAAAGAGAAACAGCCAGCTGACAAAAACAAGGAAGTAAACGTTGTCGAACAGGATTTTAGAGTTGTCTTCGTCGTCGTTTATTGTTTCTTTGCTACAGAAGTCATCTTGGATTTTAGTTTTTACACAGACTCGATTTCATTTCATTTAAAGAAGAGGAAAGAGGCAGAGGGACACCCGGACGAGGAAGTAAGCGCGAACCCGCAGCCTGCAGCGGTCTGAGCGGTTTGTGCGCACAGGCTTTGAGGTGAAAACGTAGACAACTGTCAGAAGGAAAGAAGACAGTTTTCTTATTTTTACAACACTTTTTCTGTTGCTTGCTTTGAGTCAGTCTTATGAAAAGAAACACAAAAGCTCAGGGAGAAAACTTCAAAGAGACAGAAAACAGACAAGCGTGTTTTTAGGTTGTTATTGTTTTTTGCGTTCTTGGAGTGCACCCTAAATAAATAAAACAGTGTGCCAGCATATAGAACAGAAAAAAGTGTGTAAAGGTCAGAGCCTCAGAAGAGCAGAAGGTGTCAGAACATGCTGAAGATACAGGTATGGCCAGCAGATAAGAAAGGCAGCTTCAGACTTAGATAACTCCTTTTTTAGTGAAAATTATGCATTTTTCCCTTCAAAATGTAGCTTCCACTTCTTCTGAATGTGTAAAATGAATAAGCATGATAATTCTGGACTTTCCATTGTGCATCAGTTATTTAGATCCTGTTCTTTGCTGTTTTCTTTGAGGATTTTTGACCCAGACTCCTTCCAGCCAGCATGGATCATAAAGAGGAACCGCTGAGGCAAGAGGAGTTGCCACAGATGGATGGTTTGTGTGATGCATGTGAGCCAGATGAGGCCCAGCCAGCGACACAGGTGTGCCACACCTGCAGCTTTGCCTTTTGCCCTGTCCATGGGGATAAACACGCCAGCAGAACACGTCACACGCTAATGCCTTACAGCAACAACGGGACACAAGCAGACAGAGACTCCGAAATTGATGGGGAAGCTTCAGCATTAGGAGTGGATGTTGCAGCTGTAATGGGTGCAGATCAGGGAGTGGCGGGGGCCAATAGGGGTGAGAATAGGGATGCAAGAGATGGAGAACACGCACAGAATCATTTGCATCCAGATTTGAAGCCTGGGGAAGTAGCTGAGGATGCTGAAGCAGGACAAGAAGCTATGGCTGCAGGAGAAGCTGGGAAGAGGGATGCTGTGACAGTGGAAAGGCTTCGTTGCAAGGAGCACGGAGAAGAAGGCTCCCTCTATTGCAAACCTGATGAGCAGATCATCTGTGTGGTGTGTGCTGTGCAGGGTGAGCACAGGGAGCATGAGATCATTACTCTGCATGAGGCCTACGCGTGGCAGAAGGTAAGGTGGACCAGATTGTACTTTATCATGATATGAAGCCTGCTTTACGTCTGCAGCTATCTAGCAAAAGCATTCACAGCAACAGCAATTTGCTTTCTAATTTATCCACATGTGTCCCAATAGCTGGGCTTTTTGCTGTTTTAGGTCCTCATCAGGACGGCAAGTCTTTTGTAGTTTTTTAAAATACACTAGTTTAGTTGGTCACCTACATAAATTCATAGATGTTTTAAATTTTTATTTGGATTAGAGCTATTATTTTTTCAATATTTTGTTTAGTGAGTCTGCAACCTTTCACTAATCCTGCTGTAGTTAAAATGTTCATGATCATTAACATATGTTTCTCAAAATGTCAAAATGTTTAAAAACCTTCTTGCCAAAGCAAAAATGATTCAGTTATACCTGATTTTAAACCACTGTGGTTAGAAAAAAATACCTCTAATATACGTATGGAAAAAAAGACTTTTTGTACATTTGATACCAGCTACAGATGTGAAAAAAGTTGTAAAATGCTGGCAAAAGAAATTCGATTAGAAGAAGAAGAAGAAAATATCATTTCTATAGCGCCTCTCAAGCTAAAAATCACGAGGCGCTTCACAAAAACAAAAAACAAAAAATAAAAAAATTGTAAAAATATAAAAAAAAAGCATTTCGAAAATGTTTAAAATATATTTAAAATGAGCAAGAATAAGCAATTGCGATTTAAAAGAAAAAATGTTAAGAAAGAGAGAGAGTGAATAGGAAAGAGGGAAACCAGCGGATCCTGAGGAAGGTGGAATAGGTGGGGAGAACAGAATAAAGAGAGAGAGGTGAAGAAGGTCATCCAAAAGCCAGCTTGAACAAGTGAGTCTTCAGCTGCTTTTTGAAGGAGACCACTGAGTCCACTGATCTCAGGCTCAGGGGGAGAGAGTTCCAGAGTCTGGGGGCCACAGCAGCAAATGATCTGTCACCTTTGGTCTTTAGCCTGGTGCTGCACAACCAGTAGGCTTTGATCACTGGACCTCAGGGACCTGCTGGGGGTGTAGGGACTAAGAAGATCACCAATGTAAGATGGTGCTTGTCCATGTAAGGCACTATAGATCAGAACCAGGATCTTGAAATGAACCCTGAAGTTGACTGGCAGCCAGTGAAGCTGGAGGAGAAGTGGGGTGATGTGGGTGTGTTTGGAGGACTTGGTCAGAAGCCGAGCACAGGCATTCTGAACCACCTGTAGACGGTTCAGGGAGGTTCTGCTCAGACACGTGAAAAGAGTTACAGTAGTCTAAGCGTGATTACCTTGATTACCTTCAAACAGCATTTCAATTCAGAACAGGCACATAGTTTTATTTACGGTGTCGGTACAGGATCTGCTCGGGGTCCTTCGACTGCCGATGACGTCAAAGTAGTTGATGGCTGAACATGAAGCTTACGGAAGTGACGTTATCACGTTATGATTTTGGTTGGTCAGAAAAAATTTGCAGTCGTAGTCTTCGCGGTTGTAGTCCTGTAGTCCAAAAATCAACACTTTTTTGGAGAAAATATGTTTGAATTTCTAAAGGAAATGTAAAATATAAGCAAATGATAAATGGTGACCCTCAAAAGTTCTTGATGTTGATGAAATGGGGCAAAATAAAATTTAAGAACTTTATTGAAAGACACCAAGCACTATTTTGAGTCAAAGAATGTATTTAGATAACAACTAAGGAAATATACAGACGAACTCCACATTAATACAAACAGATGTGGCTTCACATAGATGAAGTTCCTATAGGAACTGTTCTATTTTTTGTCAGTCCGATGTTGGTTTTATGCAGTTTCACATTCTTTACAAAGCAAAGATAATATGGTGTTTTATTAACAAATTACAATTATAAAGAAAACGTTTAGGTGTTAACAAACAAGAATTTAGTAACAAAACTGATGATGTCTTCCAAAACGTATGTGTGAAAGACGAGTAGATTTGCAGTAATGTGACATCATCGGCAGTCGAAGGACCCCGACCCGATCCTGCACCCAAGCAGATCCTGCACCGACAACGGAAACAATGCATAGGTTCAATAATAATTCTAAAACCAGTTGTCTGCAAACATTGATTACTAACCATATTACAAAATATGCTTAAATCAGGGAAATGTAATTACTGTCTGCCTCTGAAACAGAAAGGCTTCAAATTAGCATTAAAGTAACTGGGAAAGATCCCTGTTCCCACAAATTAAAATGAGCATTTCTTAGTGTTTTAAGGAAACCAAAGCTATTTTCAACATGTCTGGCTTGCCTTAATGTGTGTTTCTTTAGTAGTATTCCCTTAAGGCATGTTTGTCGTTGTCCAGATTTTTTTATTAGAGACAAAAATGTTATTATCCAGAAAATACCAAAACATGATCTATGTGTCTTTGAATTTTCTTCAGCTTCATTAACCCGTAGTGCTGTCCCCAGCCCTGTGGCTGTACATCTGGGAAACAAAAGTAGAGCAGCACACTTCATTGCTGAACTCTTACACCACTGACGCATATGGATTAACTAGAGGAAAAGAAGGTCACAAATACAACCATGGGTGCTTTATAAACTCCGATCATGCTCTAATTTTCATTCAGCTTTTGGCAATACCTCATTTAGTAAAAAATAAAAAAATAAAACAGATCTGGCTGCAGGGTATCATTCCGTCACATTGTTGCATGTCAAATTCATGCCATTTCCTTGTCAAAAAGAAATAAATAAAAAAATTATATCTATCTATCTATCTATCTATCTGTCTGTCTGTCTGTCTGTCTGTCTGTATGTCTGTCTGTCTGTCTGTCTGTCTGTCTGTCTGGGTTGTCACGGAGTGAAAATTTAACCTCACGGTTATTGTGACCAAAATTATCACGGTTTTCAGTATTATCGCGGTATTTTTTTTAAACGTGCTACATTTTCAGACAACTAAATAAACCCTGTATATCAGGAAAATATTATCCTCAGTTTTTGTCTAAATTTTGCCTAAAATGTGTTATTTTGTAATTATGTTGTTTATTTGTTTACATTTTTCCCTTTAGTCTTTAAAATACCAATGTTTGCCCATAACTTCTTATTTAATGTATGTTTGATGTCATCATTTTAAAAATATTAGACCAGAAGATACTCGGTACTAAAGTAGCCTTCTAATCAGATACTGTTTTTAACCCTTACTTGAGTAATAAACCCTATATCAGGAAAATATTGTCCTCGGTTTGTGTCCTTCCAGTGAGCTTTGCAGATTTGGGAAAATGTCATCAGGCAGTAATCATTGTTAAATTCATAATTATTCTCGGAGAGAGACCAACCCTTATCTGCCCCTAGGAGCCCCGTAATGCATAGCATCGTTTCAACATGGGGGTGTCCGTGACACGGTTTATATGCAGGCAGCGGCGCTGCGGCTGCTTTATATAGCGACTCGTTGCATTCTCCCTCAACCCAAATCATCGGATCACTCATTTTTAGCTAAAACGCTAACGTTAGCTTGCCTTGCGTTGACTGCAGAGTTGTGGGTGATGGTCACGCAGATGTGTGATGAGATTTGAAGCATTGCTGTCTTTCACAGACACTCTTTTCCTGCACGTGCTGCAAACAGGATAGCCGTCTTCTATCAACTGTCCCTCTGCATTCTTCAAATATCCAAAAGATGTCCGTAATTCCGACTTTGTCTCTTTGAGGGATAAAAAATGTCCTGAGCGCTGCCGTCTCCTCCTTTGGCCATTATTTCAGCTTTAGCTTCAAGAAAGTTTTGGTTGTAAACAACAAAGTACGCATGTGTGCCGTCGGCAACTTCAGCAGATGATACGGTGGCTGGAAAGGGTCACCGCGCCTACACTGCAGCCACAGTAACCCACCGAGATAATATATTTTTTTTTAAAAACCATACGGTTATTACTATTGTCAACTTTTTTACTGGGGTTTAACGCTACACCGGTTACCGTGACAACCCTTATATATATGTATATATATGTGTATATATATATATATATATATATATATATATATATATATATATATATATATATATATATTAAAGGTGGGCAATATAAACGATAAGTTAGAAACGATATAAAATTGGGTAATGATGAGTTTTTGGCTCTACCGCGATATCGCGATAACACATGATGTCACTAAGATGTGCACCCGTGCCGACATTGGAACAACAGAATGGCAGTGACTGCAAGCATGTAGCGGGAGGAGGAGGAGCATTCTACACTTTCTGGACGTCTTTATTCTGCTGCAATATATTTTCCATATGAGGATTTTTTAAAGCATGTCATTTTGACATATAAAAACAAAAGAACAAATATATCACAGTATATATCGTAGTCGCACATGCTACAGATTATATCGCAATATAAATTTGAGGCCATATCGCCCAGCCCTACTCTCTCATATTCCAGTCAAACTGACAACGCTCCTTGGATGAGAAGCGAAACATCTTCAAGAAACCAGAGAAGTCCAGTTGCTCTGATTTTCTTATGAGAATTTTATCTAATGTCCTACTCTTTTGATTTGTGCAAAAGTCAGAAATATCACAAATTACTAGTAGTTTTTGTATTTTTTCTTGAGATGCACTGTACTAATCTCTGTGTACTTACAGTACTCTATGTTGTGACCCGCTCTTGTTCTGTTTACCGCTTGTTGGTGTGCTTCTATCTACAGAGCAGGCAGGGTTATGACCTCCTGGACTTCACACAACAAATGGCTGAAAGGATCAAAACCAAGTGGACCAACCCAGAGGTGAGTGCAAGTCTCTTTACACACATCTCTGAGCTGAATGCTAACACCTATTTGGCAGCAAGGAGCCTAAAAAAAGGAAAACACCCTAAACGATGTTCTCTGAAGGGCTCTTGTGTCTTAAATTAAAATAAAGGATCCTTTTTAAGAATGTCATCTTACTTAACTTCTCGTCATGCAATTGTGTGACTGGGTTTGCATGTAATTCCTTATACTTCGTTATAAAGTACCCAGATGCCTGGTTAGTTTTGCATTTTTTTTTTTTTTTTTTTTTTTTTTTTTTTTTTTAACGTGTCCTGTCTGGCTGTGAAGCAAGCAGAATTGATGTCTGAATGCTGGTAACAAGCCTTACAGTTTTACTCTCAGGTGGAGCATCAGAGCATCTGCTTTTAATGTCTCAGGTGGAGCATCAAAGAGTCTGCTTTTAATGTCGCACCTGATATTTAAAACTTTATTGTTATTGTTTTTGAATGCTTTGTAATTTCGACCAGACACGGAGACAGAGGCGAAAGAGAAAGGAAAAGAGAAAAGGTGGGGAGAGAGGGGGTTAGGTGGGGGGGGGATTCAACAAAAACAAACAACAATGAACAAGAGTCTGCTTCCAGACCTGCAAAACGAGACGAGAAAAAAAGCAAAACATAACAAAAAAATGGGACACAACACCAACATAACAAAATCAAGCCATCACTGCGTCAACCTGATGAAGAAATACATAATCAATCATTGTTTAACTAAACAGTCACACGATAATATACCACAGTGCGTTGAGTGCCCACCACAGTCCCAAGACATGTGTTGAACGTGCCCAAGCCCATACCCATGAGAGCACCATGTGAGCACCTGTGTGTGTACACGCGCCCGTCCATGCAAGGTTTATCTATAGGAGCGCCCAACAGAGAGTGTGAGGGACCACAGATCCGCCCCCCAAAGACGCGCAGGAGACGGGGGGGAGCTCCAAGTCCCAGAGATCCAGGCGCTGCCCCAGAACACAGGAACCCCAAGGAGCCCGCAACCAGAAAGGCCCCCGCCCCCCTCGAGAGGCACAGAGGATCGCCCCGGGGGGCCACAACCAGCAGCCGGCAGAGCCCCGGGAGATATCAGCGGCAAGTCCTCAGGCCTGCCCGCAGCCTCCCACCCCCTAGCCGGCCGAGTCCGGGACCCAGTGACCCGGGACCCAGGGGCGACCACCCCCACCGGGGACCCAGCAGAGCCCAGGGACCCAGACCCCCCCAGGCCGCCACCGGGATTGATCAGGCAGATGCCAAAAATCTTAAACTCCCTGACCCGGGATCCACGAACACTCAGGCAGACCAAGGCATCACACCCACACCAGGTGTGACAGGGGGGAGGGGAGACGAAGATCTATATCATCAAAGGAGGTCCCAGGAGAAGGGAGGAGTCAAAGGCCCCACCTGACATATACAGTCATACACAAACACAGTCACACACTCCCTCCCTCATGCTCACACATGCACATACAACCAAAGACTTACAAAAATACACGCCGGACACCCATTCATGCTCCCCATACACACCCTATTCACTCTGGTCCCGGTAATGCTGCACATGGGGTACAACCACCACCGGTTACCAGAGTTTGACCCTTTCTGCTGGGGTGCTGATGAGCAGGCTCCCCCGCCCACCGCCGAGCACAGCAACCCACCACCCCAGACCCCAACCAGACGGCCAGATCTCCCTCCTAGTCTCCAGCCCCAGGCAGCCAAGCAACAACAGAGGTGTGCTAAGACCCCCTGGTCTCCCTCCACCTGCTCCAACATAGTGTTGTGTGTTAATGAGGTGTATTCTATTGCTGTGGTGAGCGGGCAGTGCGGGCATTTTCTGGCCTATGCCAGCTGATGCCACTGCACCACCCTACTTGCACCCACAGCCCTTGGTGTCTAAATGCAGTTTAAAATTCGAAGTGGGCACCGGCACTCGGGAGGAGGCTGAGAACTCCCCCTGCCAAGTGCCGTTGAATGTGCTCACTCCCAAGGCCCTAAGTGTATGTTTGCGTGGAATGTCGTCGGTGGAAGTGCATAAGGTGCAAATAAAATTGGGGGGCGGGAAGCCACAGGAATGCGGAAATGGGGTCCATACCCGCACTCCCCGACTTGTCCACCCCCCAAGGTCCTATGTGCATGTTTGTGTGATGATGTGAGGGAGCAGGAGGAGAGAAATAAACGGGGATGGGGAGGAATGGCTGGTAGGGCTTAGCCCTCCAGGGAGCCAGCTCCCCCACTGACCCCAATAGGCACCTCCGTTGTCATACCGCCGCCCAGGGCATGGAGACCCCAGCCCATCCTGCCAGGGCCCAAAGCAGCAGCATCACAGAGCCCCACAGAGCCCGAGGGAGCCGACCCAGCCCCACCCCAGCAGAATATCTATGCCCATCCCTGCATTTGCACAACTTCCAGAATATATAAGACATAAGACATCCAGGTAAGGTTGGGTCCTCCCCCTCCTGGACCTCCCCCTCCCCTGTGATGGGACAACAGAGGAGCCAGGGCCTGCCCTACGCCCCAGAACCCGGGCCAGGTACTTCTGCGTATTCCTGCCTTCTTCCCGGCAGCGTACATGTAGGGACCCGACCCCCAAGGCCCAGCCCAGATCCCCACACGGGGCCGGCCACCCCAACACCCCGAGCCCCCAGGCCCCCACCCAGACCCACCCAGGGGCAACGCAGCCGCCAGGCAGTGACCCATGGCCGCCACCAAGACCTCCAAGGGGCCCCACTCACAACCGCCAGCAGTACACCCCCCGAGGCAACCCAAGCACCTCCAGAGGGGGGGAACGGCCCCCCAGTGCCAGACATCCCCAGTGAACCCATCCCCAGGGAACATCCAGATACTCCAAACTCAGACCCTCCACCCCCCCACCCACACCATCCCGCAGGACATCATCAACGGCCCCCCATCACCGCTATGTGATGGAACCGATCAAAGGAGCCCAGAGAGATTTATTTGAAGTGGAAGCAGAGGCTAAATCAAGTGCAATATGATCTAACAAAAGATTTCTATACTGGTTAATGCAGAGATTTTCTCTATTTTTCCAATTCATGAGGATAGTTTTCTTAGCGATGCATATGGCAGTCAGAACCACGTGAACCAAAGATTTTTCAATCGGGACATCATCCAGGTTTCCCAGTAAACAAAGAGAGGGGGTGATTGGGATATGACATTTCAGAGACTTTGACAGGTCTTCACATACTCTACCCCAAAATTCCTGGACAGGTGGACAGGACCACAGTGCATGAACGTAATTGTCAGGAATGTTGTTTGTGCAGTGTGTACAGATGTCAGACGACACAAACCCCATCTTGAACATCCGATGACCTGTATAGTGTACTCTGTGTAGAACTTTGTACTGAATTAATTGTAAATTGGGGTGTCTGATCATTTTAAAAGTTTTTAAACAAGTTTGGGACCAGAAGTTCTGGTCAAAGCTGACTGATAGATCCACCTCCCATTTTTCAATAGGGATTGCTATTCTATCGTCTATTTTGGACAGTGTCTTATATACTTTAGACAGTAGTTTAGGGGGTTTGAGATTGCAGAAGTCTAAAACCCTTGGCGGGGTTTGTAATTCTATTTTATTGAGCTTAAATTTTTGTTTGACTACAGATTTGATTTGGTGGTATTCTAAAAAGCTATTCTTTTCTATTCCAAATTGGGAGACTATTCTATTAAATGGGATGAAGTCCAATCCTTCATATATGTTTTCCAGGTATAGGATTCCTTTATTTTTCCAGTCCAGAAGGTTCATCATTTTATTATTTTGCAAAATATCAGGATTATTCCAGATAGGTGTGCGTCTGCATGGTACTAGTGAAGACTCTGTCATTTTAAGATACTCCCACCATGCTGTCAGAGAAGTGCTGATACTAATACTTTTGAAGCCTTCATGTTTTCTTACGCTTGAGCTAATAAATGGTAAGTCTGAAAGCTCTATCGTATTGCAAAGTGTCTGTTCTATATCTAACCAGGACTCGTCTAATGGGTTATCTTGCAACCATCTTGGTATATATTGCAGCCTGTTGGCTAAAAAATAATAATAAAAGTTGGGTAGATCCAGTCCTCCTCTGTCTTTGCTCTTCTGAAGCGTTTTTAAGCTAATTCGTGGAGGTTTATCCTGCCAGAGGAATTTGGTAATTGAGGAGTCCAGAGATCTAAACCAGTCAGCTGGTGGTTTGTTTGGGATCATTGAAAATAAGTAATTTATTCTGGGTAAGACCATCATTTTAATTGTAGCAACTCTTCCCATCAGTGATATTGGTAAGGATTTCCATCTAGCAAGATCATCCTCCACTTTCTTTAAAAGTGGGATGTAGTTTAATTTGGTTAGATCTGCTAACTTGGGAGAAACATTAATTCCCAGGTATGTGATATTACCTGACTCCAGTTGAGTATTAAGTAAATTGACAAAAGAGAAATTAATTGGTAGAACTGTTGATTTTAACCAGTTTATAGAGTAATCTGAAACTTTTGAAAAAGAGTTTATCAGTTCTATTGAATGAGACAGAGACGATTGAGAATTCTGGAGGAAGAGTAAAACATCATCTGCATAAAGACTGATCTTATGTTCTATTTTATTACACTTTATCCCTTTAATACCTGTTGTTTGCCTAATTGCTGCTGCTAGTGGTTCGATAAAGATAGCAAACAGTGAGGGGGAGAGTGGGCATCCCTGCCTGGTCCCCCTCTGAAGACAGAAGCTAGCTGATATTTGGTCGTTCGTCCTAACACGTGCAATTGGCGAACTGTATAATGTTTGTAGCCAGTTTATGAAGAAGTTCCCAAAACCAAATTTATGTAAAGTTGCAAACAAGAACTTCCAGTTAACTCTATCAAAAGCCTTTTCTGCATCTAGAGATAATATACTAGTTTCTATGTTTCTACTGTAAGAGAAATCTATCAAATTAAGTAATCTACGCGAATTAGTGGACGACTGTCTACCCTTTATGAAACCAGTTTGGTCAGGGTGTATTAAGAAGGGGGTTACCTTCT